TAGGAGAAGAATATCTAGATAACTCGACGTAAGGAACTTTGTTTTTTGAGAAAGGGTGTCATGTAGCCAAGGCTGACCTTAAATTCTTAGTCAAATATGAGTTTTTGCACTTGCAAGGCTTTGTTTCCTTTAGACCTTACTTCAGATTTCATAGATAAAAATGTCATAACCACTTAGACTAGATGTTATAATCTGGTATGGTTTGACAGATAACAGTTTTTCTAATACTGGGGTGGCTGAGTGTTTTAGGTTGGGTTTAACAGCCAATAGACATAAGTCTGTGAGTTGGAGCCCCACTTAACTGAGTAGGAGACAATCCAGTTATCAAAAAGAATCCTAAAAACAAAACAAACAATCCCCTCACCCACCAGGGAGGGGAGGGTGGGATTAAGCAAATGTCCTTGGGCTGGTTACCTTTTCAGCTGAGAAAGATGTAACTGTCCTTGGGCCTGGTGGCTGTAGTGGTTGCTATTTGTCGACTGTTGTTTTAGGATCTGTTCCTGTCCTTCTCCACAGCAGTATGGGTTCTTAATGTTCGGTTATTACCTTTGCTTTACAAGTTTAAGGAGAAACTTAGTTGTTTCTGAAAGTCACATTTCAACAGTGAGTGAGTGTTTGCATTCTTCCACATTCTCACCAACAGTCACTATTTTTAACTATTGTAAATATTCAGCAATCTTACTGGCTTTAATTTGTGTCTCCCTAAAGATTTAAGCATCTTTTCTTGTACTTATTTAGTACTTGTATGTATGCAGGCTTTGGAGCCTGTCCTGGAGCTCACTCTGTAGATCAGACTGGCCTCTAACTCTCAGAGGTCTGTCTGTCTCTAGCACCCCCCCCACTAAAACTATGTGCCACCACTAGCCCTCATACGTCTACTTTTGTGTGTGCTAAAATATTTACTCACTTTGTATTTTTTTTTGAGATAGGGCCTAGGATGGTCTTGAACTCCAAATCCTTTTGCCTTGGCTCTCAAATGCTGGAATTACACATTGTTATTACTGAGCTTCTTAATATATTCTCCACATACCTCCCAGATCAGATACGTGCTTTGCAAACCCCTCTTCTAATTGTAGAACACGCTGTCTGTCTTTCATAGAGGATTCTAATTGTAGAACATGCTGTCTGTCTTTCATAGACAGCCTAATTGATCATGTTTCTGAGAGTGGTGCTAACCCATGTCAAAGAGGTTTTTCTTTTACTTTCAGTAAGAATGTGAAAACTTCTCTGAGTAGGTAATACTATGACCTTTATCATTTCTTTTTCTTTCCACACTTAGATTCAGCAATTCATTATAAAATATAGTTGTATCTCCTTGGGAAGCTGTCCCACCCTCTAGCCTGGGGAGCTCAAGTTTATGAGTGTGGGTGAAGCTTCATGTTCATATGCTCAGGTCCAATTTCTGTCTGGATGCATTTCTTTAGATTTTAGACTGTTTTGGTAACTAGGAGACCTCAGCTTATATATGGTTCAAGAAATGAAAATTACGCATCTCTCAGATAGCTCTACTCTTTAGTCAGGAGGGGCAGTCTCTAGGTGTCAACACAGCCCTACGTGTACAGGCATTGGATAGTGAAGCACAAGGGAAACTGTGTGACCAGCCTTCCTTCGTGTTCAGTCAGTCTGGTAATGTTGCTGGATTTACAGATATTTTAGCGTGAAGAAAACTGACGCTCAGCGGGAGGTGATGAGAGAGTCATCATTTAATATCCAAAGTGCCTTGAGGGAGACCAGAGTGGCTACATGAAGTGACGCTACGCACAAAGTCCACTCCCCACGGAATCTGTGGGCCAGCAGTGGTTTTCTAACACTAGAAAATCAGAGACGCTCCAAACTCTCTCTCATTTCACGCTGTCCATCTCAACTGAGCATGGATTACACACAGCCTGGCGTCGTGTAACTTCATTCTCTTAATTCCAGCACCGGTTGAAACTCAAACTATGCGATATGGATAAACTTTTGGAAGGAGAATATGGTGTATACCTCAATTAAATTTTAATTTAATTTAATCTGTGTTCTTTCCGGGTTTCGCCTTCAGGTCCGTTTCAAGCACCTCCTCCATGTTCAATGTTTCAAGCCTCACGTCCCGGAAAATTTTAGAAGGCAGATCCACCTTACTTGGACACTGCCCCAAAGCTGCACTTCTGGGTCTTCTATAACCCCCGACTCTTAATTTTACCTGGGCTTTGTTTGGGATCGCTTTCAAATATGAACAGTTTCTCAGAACGTTTTCTTGACTCACTCTCTATCACTTCTCTCACCTCTCCCGGGATGGAGCCTAGCCCGGGGCGTGGCGTGGCGTGGAGGGGCGGGGGTGAGTGGGATGAATCAATAAAATATTTGTCCATTTTTAGTTTTTTCCCCCTGCCACTGCAATTTTCAAAAAACAAAATGTAATTCATGCGCAATCAAGTTCAGCCTTTTAAAGTGTTCAATTCAGTGATTACTCGTGTACTGAATTATAATAATCATTGTTACCTGACTTCAGCTCCTGGCTACCGGTGATACATCCTAACTCTACATTTGGTGGCCTGGACATTTCATTTCAATAACATGCAGTATGTGACTTTTGGTGTGCGTCCGTGCGTGCATGCGTGTGTGTATGTGTATGTGTGTGTGTGTGTGTGTGTTTTCTGAACAGGGTGCTTCCCTGTTTCACCCACTTAGTGATGTTCCGGAACCACATACAGTCCTTTCTGTTTTTTTAGAAATATCATTTTGTTAGGTAGTATAGAGCCAGATCAGGGCTCTTCAAGACTTTGTTTCTGTTATGGATTTGAAGAATTGAACAGTAATCTCTCATTTGAAATTTTTAAAAAAATTTCAGGCCGAGCCAGCCAGGAGTCGAACCTAGAATCTTCTGATCCGTAGTCAGACGCGTTATCCATTGCGCCACTGGCCCGCCATGAAGGCTGTCCTCCCACTATTTATCATTAACTGCAATGTTAATGACAGACCCAATCTCAAGTCACGTAAATGCAACAAAAGTTTGATTTGCATAATTTACAACCTTTAAATTGTTTTACATTTATAAAGGAATTTCCTGCCCTGGACACCCCTTGCGTCATAGAGGTTCTTTTTTCCATTCTTGCGCTTCTTGGTTTTCGTTAATTTAGGCAGTTGCTTCCTTCTGATGTTAAACAACAGCTCCATACAGTTGATTGAATGAAAAAGTGATGAAACGAAACCCTCTCTTTCCTCACCTTCCTCCTCCTTTTACTTGTAGATGTTTTGAAACAGTCTCATTCTGGCCTCAAAATGGCAGTTCTCCTGCCTCAGGCTCCGGGAGTTCTAGGATTACAGGTAGCATCACAAAGTTGAGTATCTTAAATTTTACAATCTCAATTTGGTCAACAATTTAGAATTTAGGGTTCAATTGAAAACTATGCTGAGCCAGACGTGGTAACTCAGACCTTTAAATCCCAACATTTCTCTTTTACCCAGGGAGTTATGTTAAAAATATAAAAGAAAGTTTGGCTGAATATGATTTAAGTGTTCAATGTGAGCGAAAACATTTAAAAGCGTACTTGTAAGAAGGAGTAAACTTGGGTTTTAACTTTCCTGCTGCAGCTTGGGGTCAGCCTGCTAGTGAGTAGCGTCCAAGCCTCTTTGTGCAGCGTCCCTTTAACTCATTTCCACGTGACTGGCAGATCAAATGTGCTCTAGTCCACTTAGGTTCCTAACAGCTTTTTTTTTTTTTTTTTGTCTTTGTCTTTAGTTTGTTTCTTTTTTTTTTTTTTTTTTTTCAAATAACAAAGAACTGCTAAGGTAACTATTGGCATTTCCTTTTTTCTTTTCTTTCTCTCTATGTGTAGTCAAGGTTGTCCCGGAACTAGCTCCATAGACCAGGCTGGCGTGGATTTCACGCCTCCTGAGTGCTGGGAATACAGGCATGTAACACTACTCCCGATACTTCCCATTTAAAAGCAACAATAAAACACCCTGCTCTAAGTTTAACACAGTGGTAAAGTGGTGCTGGGTGAAAAGCTACTAGTAAAGCTCCTTACGCTGTGAGCAGGATTTGAACCTGCGCGGGAAGAACCCATTGGATTTCGAGTCCAACGCCTTAACCACTCGGCCATCACAGCTCAATTATTGCGGCGTTATTGTTTTACTATTGCTATTTCATGTAAACAAATAATAATTAAAAAAGATATTCTGAAGGCAAGATACATACTCTGAAGGCACCTAGCACTACAATTCCGTCTATGAATGCAACATACTCCAGTCTATAGGGTACTTTCCTTTCAACAATACACAGAAGGCAGTCACTTGATCAAACCCTAATCAGACCACTCTCCGCAACCTTACTCACTTTGACCCTATCCCTACTGGCTTTTAGGTCCCAAATTACAGGTTTTAAAGGGAGAGCAATAGTCCAGCATACCAGAATCTCTTCTTCTCCACTACCGGTTTTTACATATCATCGGTGTTTTTCTTCGTATATGTGGGGGGAATAAAGTTTAAGTTAGTTGTATATACACTTACAATCTTATTCAGTTACGCTCCTCCCAAACACCTCGAGGAGCACTGCTCCCTAGGGGGACAGTTTGGCAAGATCTATCCATATTCAAAAATTCAGGTGCCTTTTGAGGCGGCATTTCTAAAAATGTGCAAGATAGGTTTGCACACTCCAGGAGTTTTGTTTGGGTCGAGCTCATTCTCTGCTTTATTATCTGGAACTACAGGGTTAGGAAAAACATCAGCAATATGAGTCTTTTAAAATAATTATCTTGTTAATATTAAAGAATTCAGAATAATTTAAGCAGGTACTTTATGGCAACTCTCTCTCTCACACAGACACACACACTCATACACACACACAAGCCTAGTGAAGTATTATGCATGTTTAAGAGCTGACTGTGGTTACACGTGTAATTTTAGTTCTCGAGAGGGGGAGTGTCAGGGGAATGCTTTATCGAGCTGCTAGCCAATGGAAAGGAGCGTTTTGGTCCAAAGGGCGGAATTTTGATTGGGAAGTTTGTGATCCAAACCATAAGGTGTAGCCCTGGAATACGCGGGCCTTTTTTGGAACAAGGAAAGTGAGCGGAAGCATTGGCGGAGCAGCCGGCGATCCGTTTCGGATTCCCCATTTCTTGTTGTGATTCCTGTGCGCGGATTTTGCCTGATAACAAACGGTAAAGTAATCCTTTGACCGATCCCCTTCAACATTTGGCGCCCAGTTGAATAGGCTGCCCGCGCCCAACCTCCTGTCCCACCGCCGGAGCTCACTGCTGCCAGGTGCCAGGCACTCGCACGCTTCCGGTGCTCGGCGCTCTGCTCTGGAGCTCCCTGTCCGCCCTTGCGGCGTCCCAGGCACTGTCCGAGCTCCAACCCCTCTGCTCCGGAGCATCCCATAGACACCCCGCGCCAGACCGTCGGCTTCGAAGCTCCCCACAGGATCCGGCCCTGCGTCCTAGGAGGAACCCAGTAGCCCCTGCGCACCGGCCGGGCACTCCCGAGCTCCCCGCTTTCCCCTTTCAGCGCCTCCCAGGAACTCCCTGCTGTGCCCTCCCGCGTCCCGTCCCGCAGCTCTTCGCGGCTGCCTGTTTCCCTGTTTGGGCTCAGCATTAAGGCTTGCCATCCCCTTCTGCTCCGTACAGATTCTGCGCAAGCAATGGGGCAGGCAGTTTGGCCCAGCCGTTTTGAGCATTCACTCAGTTGTGCTGATCCTGAGCTACCTTCCGCATCTGCTTCACCTGCTGGTCAAACATCGTCACTACGTCTACATGACCAAATTCTCTGAGGAGCGAAACTCTGGTAAATCACTTGGGAACGTTTAAAACGGTAAACTAAGCTATTTAAAAAAATAGCAATAGAGGAAGAGGACAATCTTAAAACCTTTCCCAGGTCAATGACTGGAAATGACACAATACAGGGAATTAGAACCCTGCTCACTGCTAATTTGGGTGGGATGATAGAAAAACTAACTGAGGAGATAAAATCTTTGGTGAGGGTCCTTATGCTGATGTGGGTGATGACCGCACCTTTTCCCTATGCCTTAAATGCTTGGGACAGAGTTCGACATTTTGTTACTTTATACTTTAAAGATGTGTCGACCTCAGAATGGAAACTAGGCTATGTGGTACATTCGGGAAGGCGTTTTTCTTTTGTTTCCACAGGAAAAGAAGAGCTATGGATACCAACAAAATTAATAAACTTCGATTGGACCTAGGAGGGATCTCGATTGGGAAAGGTAGATGTTAAGGTGGCAGCTTCACCCCAGACCCTGGCATCATTGTACCGGGAGCCTGGAGTATGATGGTGGAGGTTCCGCCCAAGTCCCTCCCCATCTCCCTCCAATCCCTGCAGCATCTCAGAAAGTCCTCCAAATGATGACCCCCTTCCCCAGAGATGCTCAAGACCACTGCCACAGACTATTTAAACTGCCCTCCCCCCACCCCCCCAGAAACCAGACTCATGGTTTTTCTGGTCTTCCTTTCCTGTCTCCTCTCAGGGGGACTAGAAGGCTATCCAGGAGCGCTGTAGCCATTGAAGGTGGGCTTTTTCTAATTCGGTTTGATTTGGTCTGATTTGGATTGCTGCATCGGCAGAGAGCCTTATCAAGGTGTAGAAACTTTTCATCTGGAGGTTCCATCAAGGGGGCTGTTTTTTACCCCCACTGACCCTTTTCCCCCATACCTGCTCTCTGCCAGGGTTAGGTCAGCTTTCGACTGGATAAGTTGAACTTTCCCAGTCATTACCTTAGAAGCCCAGGGCCTCCTGTGATGTTTTTGGGTGTCCTGTGAAAGACATGCCGTGCCAGGCCCTGGATCTGTTAGTGGGACAAGGACCTGCCTTGTCCAGTGAGAACCCTTCTTCAGAAGACGTTCTGCTCAAGAGATTCTCCCAGACCCCCCTCTGTTTCTGACCCAAGGCCTGCCACAGTGGGCGCGTTGTGTTATGCTTTGGGTTCTGGCATAGACTTGTGAAATGGACACCTGCCCTTCGAAGCCAGATCTCCAAGCATCCTTGCGCTGCCTTTTTCAAAGTCTTTAAATTGGGGCTGTCTGACGCCATTTGCTCGGAACGCCTGATTTTTCTGTGCACTGAAGCCTGGCCTCAATGTGCCCTTCACAATGGGACATGATGGTCACTGGAGAGAACTTTTTGACTTTACTATCCTCTGTGACCTTGAAAACTTGCCCTTGTGAGGGCAAATGGCTAGAACTACAGAAAGTCCATGGCTTCTGGATACTGCGCTCACGCTCTTCCCTCAGTAGCCAGTATCTCACAGCACTGGTCTTGTTGGCTAGGTCAAGGAGCCTCCAGATTCCCACCTGTCTGGGAACTGGGACTCTGAAAATTACCTCAAGGAACAGGTGCTCTCTGAGGTTTCCAGGATGGCAGCTAATCAGATGTTTCTCCACCCACACCTTCCGCTGAGTGAGAACCCACCAACTCCTGACTCTCCCACTCCCCCACACCGTCCCTTGTCAGCAGGAGGAAGCCAGACATGAACCGGCATCCATATACCAAAAGAATCTGGGATGTTATGGTGGAAGTTCCACCCAAGCCCCGTTCCCCCATCTCCTTCCAAACCCTGCAGCACCTCAGAAAGCCCAACAAACGATGGCCCCTCACCCAGAGATGCTCAAGACCATTCACACAGGGTATTTAAACTGCCCCCCAGAGAACAGACTCATGGTTTTTCAGGTCTCCCTTTCCCATCTCCTCTCCGGGAGTGTTGTACCCATTAAATGTGGGCTTTTTCTAATTCTGTTTGGTTTGGTCTGATTTGGATTGTTGCATCGGCGGAGAGGCTTATCTGGGTGTAGTACTTTTCTCTAATTTTGCTTAAGGTATTACTTATACAGCTCGTACCTATACAGCTTGTTTATACAATGTGAAGTCCTAGTCTTTAAAACAATACAGGATAACAAAGAAATACGAGATGCAGAGTTGGTGAGAAAAAAAAAAACGGACTTCTTTTTCGGAGGGATAAAAAGTTTCTCTGCTGTTTTATTATTTCTGCTTCTTGTTCTACCTTATTTTTTCTGCTCTATTCTTCTAACCTAATGTTTCCCTTTCTCCTTCCTAATGATTTCTCACTACTTCCTGATGTCTTCCTTTTACATCTCTCCTGGTGTTTTCCTGCTACAGTCTTTATGCTTTCCCTTACAGCATATATACCCCAGCAGAAGCTTTAAAGCCATATAGAAATTACAATGTGGTTACATTCTGTTTTTTAAGAGAATGAATACAAGCAAAATACAACATGTTTTCCATATCCCTTAGATGATTAAACCTTTTACATATTACAGGTGAAAAACAAATTATCTCCAAGAACCCACATACAGTTGAACATCTTTTAGACTTCTTAGAAGTCAGGAGCCTTTCAGTCATAACCATTTACATAGGCAGTAGTTATTATAACTGCCCAAAAAGCAGGTTACTAGTTTTGCTTTTCATATTCTAGAGTCCTGTCCAGGTCTCTTAACTAACCATTTAATTCTTTCTTTTCTAGCTACACGATGTCAGTTGTTTAAAGCTTTGTTTTAGCTATGGTGCACACCTAAACCTGTAAACACATTTCCCAATATCCAAAAGAACTTGAGCTAACTACTGGGACTTGGTTGTTTTCCTTAATTATTAACCTAAGCCACAGTCCATATGGCTTCTCAAAAAACTCATGTCCTAGCTGTGTGATACTTTCTTGTTCCTATTTTCTATCCTTTGCAACCCAGCTTTACCTGGGGCAACACTTTAAACAGTACAGTGTAACAGGAAATCATCTTCATAAATGCCCAGTAGAATGGGTTATTTCCATGAGATAATCACACCACATTAAAGGCAGTGGGGGATCACCCCTCACCCTTTCACACATGCCAGATACCAGAGAAAAATGGCAATGGCAAACGTAAGGCCCAGCAGTAACAAGAGACATTCTGCAGTCAAAGCCCTCAGGCCTTGCCTGTCTGAGATTCACTCATCGTGCCTTGCCTTCTGGTGGGCCCATCTCCTGAAGTCAATTGCCACCTGCTGCTCTTCTGACATGGCCACCCACACATAGCAAAGGTGTATTTTCCCAGAATTCCGGAGGCTAGAAGCCCAGGATGAAAGAATTGCTAGCGTCTGTTTCTGGTAAGGCATTGCTTCCTGCTTTTTCTATGTTCTTGTGAGATCTTTCCTCTGCACATACAGGGAAGGAGATGGCTCGTGTCTTTCCCCTGGTATCATAAGGACACGTTGCACTGGATTACGGCCCCATGTTGTGACCTCCTTTAACTTTAATTATACCCTAACATTTCCATCTCTTAATGCTATCACACTGGAATGAACTCAGGCTTCAAACGAATGAATCTCTAGGAAGACGAGATCAGGCCACAGGTCCATCCTGTCTTTGGTAGGCCTATCACTCTGACACTACTTGTCTCAGTGGCTGCAGGTTTCACCATGATGTCTACTAAGAAAGGAAGAGTCACCATAGAACAACACGAGGGCACTAGAACTGTATGTATGAATGTTTCTCACAACCATGGTGAAGGGTCCTCTGGTGAAGCCCACCATTTACAAGGAGGGCCTATATTTCATGTAAATCTCATTTTAACATTTAAATCTCCCCAGTCTGTAGATATTTTGCTCTACAGTGTATTAAGAAAGAGCTGATATTTCAGTTACATTTTGTTGCTTCATTCTAACTGGCTCATGCATTAATTAACCAGGAACACTTAGAACCATCCTCATCCCCTTGATCTGTAGCACTGGATCAGGAGTTTCTGCCTAATGAGTCAATGAGTTTGATCTGATGCAATGTTTATAACCGTTTTCACTTTATCTCACACCCTCAAAATCCATTCTTTTTCAAGTTTGTCAGATTTCAAGCGGTACACATTGACAAAGGTAACCTGGCATGGTGGCCTCTAATGCCAGTAGCCAGGAGGCTAGGGAAGGGGAAGAGGATTGCCACAAGTTCCAGACCAGTTTGGGCTGCAATGTATGCTCTGTCTCCTGTTAATGAATGAATGAATGAATGATGACAAAAGTCACACAATTCTGGTTTGTATCACACCTTCTCAAAACAGGATATTGTCCTGTCTCTCTCTAAGAGACACCAACATTTTTAGGCTGGATAAAACAGCTACACTACCAACTATCACTGGAGTCAAAAGTTATAACTACAGAATCACTTTAGCAAACTTGGTTCAGGAAGAACATAGAACTCACCTTTGAACCTTACTTTATTGCAAATAAAAAATTCCTAAATCTCATCAAAATCTCAACACAGCTAAGCATCCCTCATTTACCGAAATTTCCCGGCTTTTGTGTCCATCCTACCCGTGTCTTGTAGGGAAGAAAATATGTCATTGCTCACTAACCACTAAACTCAAGACTCAGGCCTGTAGAAGAGAGGACGGACAAACAAGAGGAATAATATTAGTATTAAAACAAGATTTAAAGTATGCGTTGGTGGTGCACACCTTTAATCCTAGCACTTAGTAGGCAGAGGCAGACAAATAGATCTCTGATTTTGAGAGAGAGAGAGAGAAAGAGAAAGAGAGAGTTAGTTCCAGGGCAGTCAGGGCTACACAGAGAAACGCTCTCACAAAAACCAAAAACCAACCAACCAATAACAACAACAACAAAACCCAAAACAACAACAAAGAAAAACCGACTGAGATTTATATGAACTGGGTTATTGGTGTACATGTGTAATACTATCACTAAAATAAGTAAGTAAATAAATAAATAAACATTTTAAAGACTGGCAGTCTCAAAGAAACAGGCAAATCTATCACGTTAGGCTTAATGAAGACAGGCTGACTGTGAAGAATGACCTTGAGAAGTGTGAAAGGTTAAAAATGCATGATCTGATAATGATAAGCTAGGGTGGGGTAGGCACTTATCAACTCTGTACAGACTATTTTCTGTGTTCTTACCTCCTTTGCTTTGGACAATAAAACAACAGAAACTTAAGGCCTTTCAGTATGTGCATTCTGTTGTAGATGGTGGCATTATTTCAAGGTTTTTTGCTTCTCAGAATCTTCCAGAAAGCTCGTACAAGTGACTATATCAAGCTGATTGTCTGCAAAGGAAATAACACTTATAGTTGCACACAGTGCCTATGGCCCCTGACCCTCTCCTGGGCTCAGAGTGCTAACTTGAGATTCCCTAAGAGTTGTTTTCTGTTTCCAAGAATGAACTTGCGGATGCGTTGAGCATATGGAAGTAAGCTGTGTAGACAGCTTTTGTAGTCTGGAAATCTCTTTTTCTCTCTTGCTTGAAGTTTGAAGAATTGAAGAGTTGGGCAGAATTTTATGTGTTATTATTTATAGGGCATAAATATAGAAGAGGGAGAAAAATCCTACTAAAGGTGATCATTTCTGAAACTGGCCATAGTGAATGGCCAAGCCTAGAATGGAAACTTTCTCACTTATACATGGGTGTGGCACAAGAAGGAGAGGTTAGTGTGTTGTTTCCGTAGTGTAGTGGTTATCACGTTCGCCTCACACGCGAAAGGTCCCCGGTTCGAAACCGGGCGGAAACATATATGCTGATTTTTTTTTGAAGCAACTATTTATTTGCAAATAGATCACCTAAGTTGTTGTGGCTGCTGTGCTCAGAGGTCTCCAGCCAGCTGTAGAGGACCTAGGCAGCTGTTCAGCTGGGTGGCAGACGGACAAAGTCAGAAAGCCATGGGTTTTGCACGTTACGGGGAGGAGCACTGCAGGTCAAGTCCTCGAATGGGAGTCGGACCGGAGGTCCTGGAGTGATGGTGCGGCGGGATACCAGGCTCAAACTAATAAACAATCACCCAGCACCAAATACAGAATACAGACACCTAAAAGGTACTAGTTTGTGTGTGTGTGTGTGAGGGGGGTGAGATATTATTTATGATTTATTAAAGTTTGCCTGAAGATTCAGAAAGCAAAGTCAGCCACAAGTCATAGAAGCCAGATACACACTTTCAATTCCAGCAGCCAGAAACTAGGAAGTGGTGATACACACCTTTAATCCTGGGACTCAGGATTAAGAGGTAGCTGGATCTCTCTGAGTCCAAGGCCACCCAGATCTACACAAGAGTGAATCAGTTTAAAAGAGAATTATAGCTCACACCTTTAATCCAGGACTCATGATAGTTATATAAGACAGGAACAAGGAATCAGCTCTTTTCGAGGTAAAAGCTCTGTGGTAGCTTGGCTGCTTTGCTTCCCTGATCTTCAGGTTGAACCCCAATATCTGTGTCTCAGTCTTTTATTTTTCGTGTTACATTTTTAACAGAGAGAGAGAGAGAGAGAGAGCAAGAGAGAGAGAGAGAGAGAGAGAGAGAGAGAGAGAGAGAGAGAGAGAGAGAGAGAGAGAGAGAGAGAGAGAGAGAGAGAGAGAGAGAGAGGAGATGCTGGGCGTTGGTGGTGCATGCCTTTACACCTTTAATCCCAGCACTCAGGAGGCAGAGGCAGGTGAATTTCTGTGAGTTCGAGGCCAACCTGGTCCTTCCAGGACAAACCCTGTTTTGAAAAACCAAAAAAAAAAAAAAAAAAAAAAGGAGGTGTTTATTTGAAATTATTCTATTGCTGTTCAGTTACATAAATGCTATCGTTCAACAAAAATAGGACCACTAGTACAAAAATGACACAGTCATTAATATAAATCTAATTGAACATAGGAGAATACGGAATTTTTTTCAATGTTTCTGTCTTTCTCTGATTAAGGTCTTCTTCTTCTTCTTCTTCTTCTTCTTCTT